TCCGTAGCATTGTGTAAGGAGTAGTAGCATAGAATAGAAAGGTAATAAGATTTAAGTTAGTCATCATGGGTGTTGTGTGCACATGAACTTCAGAAGTTATTGATTATCAGAACATCATTAGGCTAGTAAGGATTGTGCACTGCTTTTGAAGAGCATTAACTAGCAAAGGGAACAATAAGACAATCTTGGGGTTTGTCCTTCCTCATACCTGAGAAAACATCTGGCGGGTGGGGGACGCCCCTCCTGCACCTGGCTTTATGTTCACGTGAAAGACTTGTGAGACTGTCTGTGTAAAATTTGGGGATAAATACGTGCTGTAACTTTCAATAAACGGCTTCTGCTCATTTCACTGAACAGTTGTCCACTTTCTTTCTTTCTCTTTCTTCCTCTTTATATCTATCCTTCCATCTTTCTTTCTTTTAATATCTGTCCCTACAGATTCGCCGACGCCACCACATCTTCCAAGGGACTCCCCAAAACTTGCAGGGGCTGGCCCCCCGCAAGTTTCCTTTTTTGTACAATGTGACTGTGCTATAAAGTTTCTAGGTTCCCTTATAACTCTAACCTTCTATGATTTAACATATTCTCAATTTAAAATGTTTTCCTAGTCTGTGAGATAGAAATAGACCTTTTAAAATGGTTTAATATATGTCACTTTATGGAACTAATCTAGGTAAGTAAAGATTATTCAAAGGTCAGTACTCCTGTTTCATGGCATCTCAGAAACTAATGACCAGATCATTAGAAGGGCAACCAATTTAGAAATATAAGGCAAGCCCCTCGGGTCCCCTCTCACTGTGAGGGCTTTTCTGTTCTCTTAATAAATCCTGCTTTCAAAGAAGAAGAAATATAATTCTGTAACACCATAATTAGCGGTAGCTGAAATGCCTTATGAATCCACCCATCTAAATCCATAGGTTAAAAGGTATAATCCAAACTTGGCAACTGATTTTTCATTATAAAGGTCTAACTCTTATACAAATGTGCCTTATAAACAACTACCAGAGTTACAGAAAAACAAAGGTCTAGAGAACCTTTTCTACTCTTGGAAGTAAACAATTCATATTTTTTGTTGTTCCCAATGCTTTTTAGGTATGAAATGTCTAATGACAGAGACTATAGAAAAATAATTCAATGACATTCAACAAAAAAATCAGTCCTCACCATTTTCTATAAAGCACGGTAAATTGTGTAGCAACATCAGACGTCCATGCAAATGACTGGCATTCTCTTGAACAGGAAATTTGAGAGGCACCCTCAGTTCTAAGCACTGACTTCCTACTTTGAATTTATACACAAATTCCCTTTCTCTGTTGCAGAATCTTTCTCTGCTTTTCTTCATGTTCTTTGACAGAATTTCTATAGAACAAAAAGAGTAGTAGGTTATAAGTCCATAATAAAACATGATGTTTCATTACTGCTTTACCACTTCTAAGAGAATATCCTGCCACTCAGAGATTTTATTTATGTGACTTTGAATCAATCAGTCTATTTTTTCCAGGTGTTTATTCCTGTACTTTCATTTTCATGATGAAAAGTGCTTTTCTTCCATTTTCTTTTAAACTTGATTTAAGAGAAAAAAATGCCCATAAAGTACTTTGCATTTCTAGGCAGGGTTCTCAATAATAGGGAAAGTCCATGGACAGAAAAACAAAGATAATTCTTAAGAAGAGATGCGTGGATGGATAGATACAGAGCTTATGAAACAGTTGGTGAAAACAAAGTCAAAGAAAGGAACAGATTAAGGGTCAATCAGTGATCATGAGATCTGACGGGGAGGAGGTGGGGTATAAAAATATTCGAGAAACCTCCACATGGAAAGAAGATATACAGAAAATAAAGAATACAGGATGACCTCCCCATCAATCTAACTACATCCACAGGGCAAACTGGACACTCTTTAGAAAAAAAAAAATCTAGTTAAAGAGAGTAAGAATCAAGATCGCTTAAAGATTTATTTACTCATGGACTGACTGAGTCTCCTGCCTGGACTCCCTGCTGCTAAGCTTTCCCCCATCGAATTAGTTATTCTTTATACTCAAGTCACAGTAATCTTTCCTTCTTTTTTTTATTTTTAAGGAATTTATTTACACGATCATATTGTTTACCTGCTTTAAAACTTTCTATGGCATTCCACTGCTCTCAGGATAAAATTCAAACTCAGCCCAATTTCAAATGCCCCTGCTAATATGTCCAGACTCTTCTTTCAGCAACTGCATAAATTCGCAAATTTTATTCCCAGTCATACTGAGCTTCTGTCAAGACCAAACCTCTCTTTCCATTTCTAACCTTTTTGAACACCTACTCCTTTGCCTAGAATACTTACTGATCTTAACTTCCTTGTATAACAGTACTCATTCTTCAGGTCTCAGCTTAAATAGTGCCCAGGAAAACTTCTCTAACTCCTTAAAACTAGAATGGGTCCCCAAAAGACTCTCATATTAGCCTGGACTTACCTTAATCATGGCACCTATTACCCTCTATTTCTTATTCTTGTTAGAACAGTCTATTTTAAGAGAAAGGAATTCTGTCTTGTTGCATTCCATGTGTCAGGCAGTATGCTGGTAATATAATGACAAGAGCTAACAAATATTTCTTGAATTGTATGGTGTTTTAATTTTATGATACTCATTGAACAAAGAACAGAACAAGGAATTTTTTTTTTTTTTGAGTTGGAGTCTCACTCTGTCGCCCAGACTGGAGTGCAGTGGCCGCTCCCGGCCACCACAGACTCGACCTGCAGGGTCCGGTGATCCTTCCGCCTCAGCCTTCCAAGTAGCTGGAACTACAGGCGCGCGCTACCACACCAGGCTAATTTTTGATTTATTGTAGAGATGAGGTCTCACCAAGTTGCCCAGGCAGGTCTCGAACCCGAGGGCTCAGGCAATCTACTCACCTCAGTCTCTCAAAGCGCGGGATTACAGGCTGAGCCACCGAGCCTGGCTCAGAAAAAGGAATTAAAAAGGAAGGAATTCTTTTTTAAAACAAGGAATTCTTTTTTAAAAAGATCACTTGAAATATAAAAACTCAAAGGACGTGTGTGTGTGCGTGTGTGTGTGCGTGTGATGCAGATGAGTTAAATTGGCCAGATTATATTTTCAAATCTGTATGTAGGCTGTACACCAAAATTTTAGTCTATTTTGCCATAGTGCAAAGAGAAGGTACTCATGTTTTACTCACAGACTTAGTTAACTAATACTTAGTAAGCATAAAGAAATGGAAATTCGTACAACCCAAGAAAACTACCAAAACTACATACAGGTCTATTCAATGACGATGAAATTCCACGCCTAAGTATATATCGAAATACGCATACACACACACGCTTACGCTCACTAAAATACACAGAGAATTCTCATCGAAATTTTATTTGTCATAGCCTCACACTGGAAACAATCAAAATGCCTATCAATAGAGTGGTAAGCTTGTGATTTATTCATACCGTGAAATGCTGCAAGGCAATAAAAAAAAAAAAGAGCCACTAATGAATGCAAAAATACGAATGAATCTCACATGCTGAACAAAAGAAAACAGATGCAAAAGCTCTGGATTCGATCGCTTCAACACTCATACTTGTGCTTCAAGAAATTGATGCTTTAGTTCCTTCTCCCTCTGCTCGTCCCCCACCCCCAACGGTCTATCCTTAAGCCTTGTCTCAATTTTAGCAGCTGTTAAGTCTAGGAAGGTATCCCGTACAAAACGGGGTGAAGGCTAGACCCAACACACAACCAGCAGAGCAGAGACTCTGAGCCTCACACACTCCTGGGGGACCAGGAAGGCAGACTGCCAGGCCCAGAAGCTCCAGCCGAGGGAGGGGGGCCGGCCTGAAAGGTTTCAGCCTGCAGGGGCCTTCTCGCTCTTGGTTCTGGGCTCACCTCGCCGAGCTCCGAAGTCCCGAAGGTCTGCACACACCGAGCTGTCAACGGCCCAGGGAACAACAGCTGACTTACCGACTTGTTTTTACAGCCAGTGTATCTGCTCCCGCAGATTCGCCCACGCCTTTTTCTTTATTCTGGCACCTTGTGGAAAATGACTTGGCCAAAGCGCCCCTTTGTTCCAACCCGATTCAATTTCATCTTTAAAAGCATAAGAATCTGTATTTCTGCTGTTATTGTGTATTTCGGAGACGGTGCCGCATGCCGCTGCCGGAACGAAAGTGTTGAAGTAGAGCATAAACTAGGCTCTAGTGGACCGGAAACGGAAGAGCCGTGGGGGCGGGCGTGAGCGCACAGTCTCCTTAGGGCGCCTGCGCCGCCGCAAGCATGGCCGGCAACGATTGGAGGACCGGCGGGGCGGGGCGGACCGCGCCGTGGTGTTTGGTTTTGGGCGGGAATTGAAAGCGCTGCTTCCGCCCACAAGAACTTGAGGACTGTGCGTTTCCAGTCTTGAAGGGGACCATGGTGCGCCCTGTGAGGTGGGTAGTTCGTGACATTCGGCGGGGACGGGGAGGAAAGAGCAGGGAGATGCCGCGGACAGCGTCTACACAGGACTGAACGGAAAGGACCGGGTCTAATGGGAGGGCAGCGACGATGGCCACGGGTGGACGGTTATTGGCAAACGCTCCAGTCTCCAGTGAGAGCCACCCGTCGCTCAGAAGTCTCCTAGCATCACTGTGGCATCCTAGCTCTTCTCTTCTCCTTGCCTCCCTTCGCTGACCTTTTCGGATTTTTTTTCTAACCCACTCCATTCAAATAAGACCTTGTTAGATCAACGTTTGAACAGCGCCTTGCTGTCCACGGAGCGCCTATTTTACTTTTCATCACTGTAATTCTCTGACATAGAAAGAGTAGGCATTTCTGTTTTGTCCGTCTATAACTCCTAGGCATCAAGGCCAGGTTTCCTGACTCACACAGCGAGTAAGTGGCAGGGCAGTACTCAAACCTAGGTCATCAGACTCCAGATTCTCTGTGTTTTCTGTTATACTAATTGAAAATGTTGCTCTAAGTTAATCACAGTTGAGTGCCATGGAAGCCTAGGGTCAGCCATCCACGTAGTGTGAAGTTTTCGAGTATGTTTACTTCTACTAGGTACTGGAGGTTGTATTCTTGTGGGAGGTGAGGTCAGGGGGCTGAAAAGAAACATTAAAATGTAACAGCACAGAAAGGGGGAAAGGCCTCCTTTAAACAGGGTAGTTAGAACGTGTCTCTCTAAGGAGATGATCCCTGCACTGGGCCATGAATGACAAGAAGGAGCTAGCTGGGCGAAAATATTGGACGATCCAGGTAGAGGGAATAGGAGCCAAGGCCCTGCACTTACTTTGCTTTAGGAGCGGACTAAAGCTGTAGCATTAGCAAGCAGTGGGGAGAATTGTAAGTGATTAGGTCAGAGGAATAGGTGTGTGGTAGAACAAGTAGGGCTTTGCAGGCCGTAGAATGGAATTTAGGTTTTATTCTAAGGCCAATAGGAAGTCAATGGAGGGTTTTAGGTAGAAAGAGATCTAATTTTGCTTTCATAAAGGTCACTGGCTGCTGGTGGAGAATAAATGGGAGATGGGATGACCAGAATGGGAGCAGGAAAACCATTTAAGAGGTTATGTCATTGGGGAGTGGTTTGGAGTAGGGTGTTATCAGTGGACATGGAGTGGAACAGGTGCATTTGAGATATATTTTGGTGGTACTGCTGACAGAACTCGCTGATGAAGTGGATGTAGAGGTAAGGGAAGAAAAGAATCGAGGATGACCACAGTATTTTTAATCTGAACTCGTAATCTTTCTAATAAGTGAGATAGGGAAGACTAGGAAAAGGAACAGGTTCAGGAGGCATGAGGAATAAGATTTCTGTTTCAAACATGTTAAATTGGAAATGGGGTTTAAGCATCCAATAGCAAAGTCAAAATCCCTTTGTATGGAAAAGCAACTGTTGAAGTGTGGTCTGCAGCCCTCTGTGGGTCCCTGAAACCTCAGTAAAAACTCTCTTCATAATAATACTAACACATGATTTGCGTTTGCCACTGCCCTGTCATTTGCACTGCAATGATAAAACTGTTGGTGCCTTAGCACAAATTAGGTGAGTGGCACAGAGCTGCACTAGTATTCGTTGCATCTTTTACTGTCAGACTCTCAGAGATAAAAAAAAGAAAATTCCATTTCACTTAAGATTATGCTTGATGAAGCATTATTATATTCATTGTAGCTCAACCCTTGAGCATAATTTTTTTTTTTAATGGGCTTTTGATTTTACGATTATTGAATCTCAGAATTTCTAAGGGGGTGTCTGTATTTTATTCAGCTCTATCTTCTTTAACTCTGAAGAACAGGAGAGTGACATGAGTATATTTCTTGATGTTCCATGTGAGGACATGGGATGTACACATAAAACCCTTCCACATAAAATAGCATGGTGGTGACCTCAAGAAGAAAGTGAACTTGCCTTCTGCGTAGAACATCAGTTTTACTTGAAAGAACAGCCAAACAACAAATGAGGTTATTCGCATATGGCCTTTTGGCAGAAGATAGAAATGAAAACTGCACTGTTTCATTTAGTGCCTAGAGGAGGGAGGAGGCAAATCATTTTATTTTTTTCACTTTGAATATGTTTTTTTCTAATGTCCTCTAAAGTAGTACAGGTTGAGTATTTCAAATCCAAGATGTTCTAACATGTGAAACTATTGAGCACCTATATGATGCATTAAGCAGGATTTTGGATTTCAGATTTTTGGATTTGGGATGCTTAGCTGTTCAGCATATATGGCATATATTCCAAAATCTGAAAAAATCCCAAATTAGAACATTTCTGGTTCCAAACATTTCAGATAAGGGATACTCAACTTGTATAAAGATTCATCTCAGGTGGCAGGAACAACGTCACTCACCATTTTTTTTTTTTTTTCTGAGTTGGAGTCTCACTCTGTTGCCCAGACTAGAGTGCAGTGACCGCTCCTGGATACTGCAGCCTCGACCTGCTGGGCTCCAGTGATCCTTCTGCCTCAGCCTTCCAAGTAGCTGGAATTACAGGTGCATGCTACCATGCCCGGCTAATTTTCTGATTTATTGTAGAGATGCAGTCTCACCAAGTTGCCCAGGCAGGTCTCGAACCCGCGGGCTCAGGTAATCCGCTCACCTCAGCCTCCCAAGGCATGAGATTACAGGCTGAGCCACCGAGCCTGGTGTCACTCACCATTTTAAGTGTTCACTGCATAAGACTAGTGTTTGGTATTGTGGAGAGATTGGGAAAAAAAAGAAAATGACCTTTAGTGCCAAGAAGTTTATAATCTTTAAGGAAGATAGAATGCACATATAAAATCAAAAGCACATATGACAGAAACTTATACATGCTCAATTGCAGTTAAATGGTATATAAATTGTAAGTGTTAATTATATAAATTATTCTTACTTTGTGTTTTCTGAATTAATTTTTTCCATAGCAGGGATATCAGGTATAGTTGTAACTGTTTCAGCTAATGCTAAATCTCTGCTGTAAAATGTAAATCATGTTTTTGATTTAAATATTTAAATGGGAAGTACACATAAAGTGTACTTCTAAATTCAAACACATTTTCATTTATTCAAGACTATTAATAGCCTTGAGAAATGGAGGTGAGAAATTGACATTTGTGTTAATGGAAAATTTCTGTCTTGATCATAGACATAAGAAACCAGTCAATTACTCACAGTTTGAGGACTCTGACAGCGATGGTAAGTAGAGCTTCTTATTTTTGCTTTAAAGATTTGGAAATCAGCTTCCTCAGGATTTATATATGTATAGTTCAAATAATATGAGCTATGTTGGGCTATACATGGCAAATATAATATATATATATATTTGACATGTATAGCCCGATTACATATGACATATGAGGTAGTTCTGGTAAAACAATTTTCTAAGCATTTGGTATAATTATGCTGATAATTACACTGACAAGAATTATGTTTATAGGCGATAAATGAACAAGGCCACGTGAAAATGGCTCTTTAGGTCTATACTTCTTAAGTCTCAAATTGGGATTTGTCTCCTATCCTTTCCGCAAAGAAGGAAATAGACATAGAAATGTGTTGCAAAATATTATGTGAAATTCTCATTAATCATAAAATAAAACAAGACCTTGGGAAAAGGTTAGGCTTAGGTAACGCCATATTAGTTATATGTTTACTTGTCTCTGCCGTTAGACAACTGTGATTGAAAAGTTTGAGGAACATTAAATTAGATTATATTATATTTTGAAGTCGGTTTTATATTTCTGTCTCAGACCACTAGAGTTTTCTGTAAGTCAAATATTTAGTAATTCCTAGGTTTGAAGAAGTCTGCTTTTGCTTTGGGTGCACAGCCTTAAGTGTATCTGCAACTTGGGAGGAAGTAGTATAAAATATGATATCTAGCTTCTTTTTACTGTCACTAGTCTGTCAGATATTTATAAATTGCCAGTGGGCAGTGTGCATTCAAAAAGTCATATATTATCATATTCCTACATTGGGAAGCAAATAGGAGGTAACATGTATTATTAAATGCTAAAATATGTGATTGAGCTGACATGGACCCTGAAGGTGTGCATATATGTGTTAAAAAGCCTCAGCAGCAGTTTTCTGTTGCATGTCAAGAGAACAACTACCAGAGTCTTGAGAATTGGTAGGACAGAAAAACGTGTGAGAAGCAGCAATGGACTAGAAAAGAACGTCCCTTTGCCAGAAATTAAGGAATTGCTTTGGTAGGATCACAGAAAGGTCATCATGGTAATGGCAAGTGAAAATACCACTTTTGTAAAAAAATCCTAAAATAGGAACCACTCTCTCTTACCCCACCATGCTTATTTTCCCTAGCTTGATTAATGCGCTAGCTCTAGGTAATGGGTCTTTGAAAGAAGATATTGGAGTATATTGTTGTGAAGTTTTCATAAAAGTGATTTCCTTTGACTGTTTAATGTGATAAAACTCTACAATTTTACAAGTTTTTAGTCAGTTTTTTCTTTGATATTTACATACTACTTTTAATTATCTTAGCAGTTTTTTGTGAATTGGTTTTTAATAGAATGATATTTTTAAAACTAAAGGCCACCAAAGCAAAGACGATTTAAAATAGGTAATTGAGAACAAAGACAAAACACCAACAATGATTTTTAAATTGTGAAAATTAGCCGGGCTCGGTGCCTCAGCCCAATCCCGCGCCTTTGGGAGGCAGAGGTGAGTTGCCTGAGCCCGCGGGTTCGAGACCCGCCTGGGCAGCGAGACCTCATCTCTACAATAAATCAAAAAATCAGCTGGGCGTGGTAGCACATGCCTGTAATTCCGGCTACTCGGAAGGCGGAGGCGGAAGGATCGCCGGAGCCCAGCAGGTCGGGGCTGCGGTGGCCGGGAGCGGCCACTGCGCTCCAGTCTGGGCGACAGAGTGAGAGTCCAATTCAAAAAAAAAAAAAATTGTGGAAATTAAACGATTTGCTTAACCTATAAAACTTGAACATACACTCTAATGATTTTAAACAACTAAGAAAATAATTTTCTTCTTTTAATTCACACATGAATAGATGATTTTATTTCTGCAAGTGTACCTTTAAACAAGAAATCCAGAACAGCACCAAAGGAATTAAAACAAGACAAACCAAAACCTAACTGGAAGACTTTCCAGGAAGAAGACATCCCACTACAAGAGGAAACCCCTAAAAAAAGGTGAGAGGTAAGACATGCAGTAAATATATGACACTGGGTGTGTTAATTTAAAAGAGTCCCAGATCTGAACCCTTGGTTTAAGTCAGAACTCTAGTAGAGTGATAGGTCCTATTTTATTTAGTGCCTATAGGAGAACAGGGACATAGTATTAATCCCCTTCTGACTTAAAGAAATTCATAAACACATAAGGAAATATCCTTTCAGTATGAAGACAATAATAAAGATGGAATTTAGAAGTTATGGCTAGTTTTTACAGGATCCAACACCTGTCTCTGATGTCCTCAAACCTTATAGGACCACTTTGTTAAAAATTATATTTGTAAGGACAGTTTAAAAAAATTTAAAACCATACATTTTTTTACAGATAAAAGATATCTTCTTATCTTGTTGAGATTCGTCCTGCAGTGAAAAGATTCTATAGTTTCTAGACTAACCATGGAATTTCATTAGATAGGACCAAGAAGGAAGAGAGTGTAAGGGAAGGAAGTCCTAAGAGACCCAAAACTTGTAGTATGGAGAGGAGATGGGCAGAAGAGGAATAGTAACAAGTGGAACATGGGTAGGTAATGCTTTACTGCTACAAGTTTTTCTATGAAAAGTTAATTAGTGTAGAGAGACTTACCCCATATCACATGCTCTTTCCTTTTTTCCATTTTTTTGTTTTTGTTTTTGAGTTTCTTGTCCTACATTTTAAATATAGTGAAAAAAGAATCCATACATTGGGGAAAATGTTGTGAATCATATAACTAATAAGGGACTTGTATCCAGAGTTTATAAGGAACTTTTTAAAAACTTAATGGTAGAAAGACCAATGAAGTAATTTAAAGTGTACAAAAGATGTAAATACATCTTTCTCCAAAGAAAGTACACAAATAACCAAAAAAAACATGAAAAGATGCTCAACACCGTTAGCTGTCAGGGAAATGCAAATTAAAGCCACAATGAGATAATACTTCACACCTGCTGGATGACTACAATTAAAAAAAGACAGATAATAACAGACATTTACAAGGATGTAGAGAAATGTGAACCCTCATACATTGCTGGTGGGAATGTAAAATGATGCAGCCAAATTGGAAAACAGTTTAGCAGTTCCTCAAGATGTTAAACAGAGTTATTATATGACTCAGCTTGTGTTACCTAAGAGAAATTAATAGGCCCACCTGTACGTGAATGGTCATAGCAACACTATTCATAATCACTAAAAATGCAAGCAATCCATGTGTCTATCAACTAACAAATGGAGCCAGGCTCAGTGGCTCAGCCTGTAATCCCACCCCTTGGAAGACTGAGGTGAGTGGATTGCCTGAGCCCGCAGGTTCAAGACCTGCCTGGGCAACTTGGTGAGACCTCATTTCTACAATAAATCAAAAA